AAAAACTCAACTAATGATTCCAAATCGAATACGAGAGTAAGGATTCCTGCTAAAACACCCAATGTAACAGTGGCAACAACTGGTACATGAGTATGTGAATTAACTTTAGCCAACACTGCAAACAGAAGGCCATCTCTAGCCATTGCAAATACGATACGTGGAAGAACAAACATAGCAGTTAAAAAAGTAGCAGTCATGCCGATCAATGATCCGACTCCCACCGCATACACAAGCCACTTCACCCCTACATGACGAAAAGTATCAACAAATGCTGCTTCAGGTACAATGTCATAATATGGTACCATCAATGTGACCACTGTCGATGCAGCAATATATGCTGCAGCTACAACTGCTAAAGATGTGCATATTGCAATTGGGATACTTTTTGCTGGATTTTTTGCTTCTTCAGCCGATGCAGTAATAAAGTCAAAACCCACGTAAGCAAAGAAACACGTTGCAGCGCCAGACATAATGCCTGAAATGCCAAAGGGGGTGAAACCACCTTCAATTTTCCAATTGTTAACATTCACAAAATTCAGACCTGCACCTATAACGAGTATAACAGTGCAAATGTTTAATATAGTAAGGAAAGAGTTTATTTTAGAAGTTAAATTTGCTCCCAAAGCCGTTATAATCACGCCAAGGATGATTAATAATAAAGCAAACAAATCGGGATATTGTGCCAATAGAGGATAGTTCCATGGTCCACCTGTGATGTATTCATAAGTGAAGTTACGTATTCTGTGGTCAAGCATTTCGTCAAAGTATCCACTCCATGCACGCGCCACAGCTGCAGCAGATATGATATATTCAAGAACAATGTTCCAACCAATCAGAAATGCCCAAAACTCGCCCATGGAAACATATGTGTATGTATAAGCCGATCCTGTTATGGGAATCCTTGCCCCGAATTCCGCATAGCATAATGCCGCGAGAAGTGTAACAAATCCCGCAATAACAAATGATACAATGACTGCAGGGCCAGCAGTATTTTTTGCAACAGTTCCAGTGAGAACGTAAAGACCTGATCCCATCATGGAACCAATACCAATCATTGTCAGATCAAAGGAGGAAAGACATCTTTTCATAGGTGTATCTAAATTATCAGATTCCAAGCTCTTCAAACGACTCAATCTCTTTAGAACAGAAGAAAAAAAGGCCATGATGCCGATAGAAGGTTGGACTAATGTTTCCTTCGTTGTATGCTTGTTGAATAGCACTAAGAATATTGGAACTTTTCTTCAATCAACTTCCTACAGAAAAATAAATAAATAAATTAAGATAAGTAAATAAAACATAATCGGATTGCTACATTTGATGTTCTCATCTTGAATTTCAATTTATACAGATCAAGCAGTTTGATTAATATTAATTGATTATATTCACGATTAAGTATTTGTTTCATATTGCATTAGTTTCTATCGTTTAACCTCGCCCGATGTGTCAAATTTCCTGGCAACAAAAATAAAAGATATTTGAACTGTCAAATTTAAGCAGGGCAGTATAAAGAAGACACAATTGTGCCAAGGTAGGAACAATCAGGTTTTTGCTCGGTGTAATACCCATGGTAGGTCAGGAATAGTTCCGGTTTTTCTACGAGAGTGTTGATAAACAGATACACAGATAGATAAATGAGGATGTAGTTATTAAAAGGGCAATTCTAGCAAGGAGCAGAACGCTAAAAAAGAAGAAGTATATAACACAGAATAAAAAGGAAGGTAAACATGTCAGATGTAAAATAAAAGTAAACATGTGCTGTATGCCTTAGGTGTCGTATGAGAGCATCGGTACCAGTAATCACCTTGGTCAGCAGAAATCCTAAATAAACAAAACGAATGAACCAGCAAAGGCGATAAGGTAAGTTCACTTACTAATGAATGAATTCAAGTCATGTAAAATATGTAATTATAATGGTAGTTTTGTACACATACAAAACAATATTTCTTTCTTGAAAATGTTTCTTGTATCTTCGTGTAATTAGGTTTTTATATTGCAGTTTATGGTTGTACATGTTCTGTGCTTATGCAATTAATATTATCGTAAAGTGCATGAAGCCCTATTGTTAGATTCCGTGTTTTTTTTGGTTATTTTCAAAAACTGTCCTTTTCCAAATTTTAATTAAACATAGCAGTTTTAAGTGCTACGGTTGAGTAAGGCTGTAGAATGTACATATTAATTTATATCATGAACATAAATAATTTTCCATGGATTCTTTGTTGAAGGATTTACAGCAATATAATAAAACTGCTTCTGATTCTCGCATACTGTTTTTTTCCAAATTGTAATTAACCATAGAAGGTTTAAGTGTTCCATTTCTCAGACTTTCGAGGATCTGGTAGTCTGGGCAATTAAAATATATGTGCTAAAAACTTTAACCGTTAAGTGAATTTACCTTCATTTTCACTTTACCTTTCCCCTGGCAATTACTGGCACTTCATTGCTATAATATGTCTAGGAATGACAATTTTTGCCAATAGCCATTGTTAGAAAAAGAATGCAACATTCGAGCATCACATTTTGTCAAAGTCACCACATATACCTACTCCGAGTTTACATTTAGTAAGGCTGTATAATGTATATATTTATTAATTTATGTATTTGTTTATGTTTATTTATATGAATTTATTATTTCAAAACATTTACCATAAAATGGAACAAATATTTTTTTGTCCGCACATAGTAAAGAAAATACTGGCAAACGAGAAACATGCTTAATTCCTCCACTCTTTTCAAGGGGTCGTTCTAATGATCGTCTAATCTAATTAGCATTTCGACTCCTAAATCATTTCAGTATTTTTGGAATGATTATGAAGCATTGCATAAATATAAATAACATTATTTAATAATTTAAATTACCACTAATCAAGATACCTTGTTCATGAGAAATGAATTGAATATATTTCTATGGATTCCTGGTTGAAGGATTTACAGCAATATAATAAAAAAAATATCCATGGTAACACTGATTTCAATTGATGAAGCTTGAAACTAAATCGTAAGCACCATGTTTGCTAAACATTACTTTATTTTTTTTTAATTTAGTAAAGGTAAGGTAATTTCAGTAGAATGTGATTGGCTAAATATAACTGTACTTCGAATTAGCCTGGCACATTTTATAAAAAAAATTACCATATATTTTAGTTCAAACTAGTTCACACGCATATAGCACAAATAAGCATATGGCAATGAATCATATAGAATCATCTAGGGACATAGGGACTGACAATTATGCAAATTGAATGATGCACACAGAGGGAAGTTATCCCTAATATGAATATTATTCCTATCTAGCAGCCATTAGACGCTATATGAAAATACTAAAAATACTAATACTAAAAAAGATTTCTTTCAAAGGAATATAAATTTTCATTGCAAAATTCCAAGAAAATAATAGAACAGTGTAAACAAAATAAATTGTATGTATTCCTACATTTAATAGCAGCTATATTTGGCAATACAGGGGAGGGGCACGATGCTGGGACCATACCAACTGTCTGACATGCATAGCAGAAATCTCCCTAACATTGAGTGCTACCTAACGTGCCCAGACTTGTCCCACAGCGAGTCCAACTACTACCGCAGAAAAGATTTAGTATAGTACAGCAAATCTGAGAAGCTCAAAAAAAAAACGTGCAAAAAACAGTAAATACTGACTTGTAAAACGTTAGCATTAATATCAGTATATTAATATGAGAAATGAATAGCATAAGTTGTAGGTTATGTAGCTGTGAGCTACGTGAGGTAACAGTGTTATCGATAGAAGCTGTGGATACTGCAACTACCTGACAGAAGACAGCGGAGGCTGTCCGGAAATGGTAGAAAACAGCTAAGGCTGTAAACTACGATGTTTTTAGTAAATAATTATTAATAATACATACATACATACATACATACATACATACAAATAAAATACATAAATAATAATTTTAAAAACGTAGAAACCAAATCTTGGGGGAGAAAGAAAAATATGATAAATATATGAAACCCCCAACTGGAATGACCCCAAGATAAAAGAAATTTATAATGAGCTAGATTAGAAACTATTGACTAATGTAGAATGTGCAGATCTGATTGACAACCCTGAGGTATGAATGTATCTAAAGTAACTATCCGAAGACCATCGGCCTAGTGCCTTGATCTTGGATACTGGCATTTACTGAAGACGTAGCTGCCCCTATACAGAAGGAATGGCCTGTAAATTGGAATGAACTGAAACCCAATGGATAGCCGAGTCTGTGTAAATACTGTAGGAAAACAGAACGCGCCGGGAGGTTGTCTTCAGTTACAAACAGAGGGACCCCTAAACTAGGTCTAGAACTCTGAGAGAGAAATAATGCTTAAGACTCTGTACTGGACACATGCCGTCATTCCTGAATAATCCAATTACCACTCCTTCACGTAATTGATCTGACTTTGATGACTTCAATTGTAGTAAAATTTGAGTATCACCATGAAAACTGACATCCTCAATACATAAATGAAAATCTCTATTAAACGCTTCAGATGACCTGACGGTAAACTCACCGCAGCACAGGAAACAAAACAAGGCTACTAACACAAGTTTGCCTGAGGATATCAATGAAATGGGTGAATACTCCTAACTCAAGATTACTAAACATATATAACATAAAATAATTAATAATATCAGCTGTGAAAGCACAGCGTGGCCTAGCGCCTCGTCCCTGATTACGTTTGATCGCCCTGAGCAATAACTTAACTCTTACTGATGGCATACCGACAATCACCTGCTATGGATTAGGTACACCTGATTCAATGTATCTGAAACGAATACCAGCAAGATATAGTCTTATTGTAGATTCTTTAAGTTGTAAATATTTGTAACAATGTGTAATTGAAGAGCAGTAATAAGTAAATTACTGAACGGATTTAAATATTTAAACCTGAGGTATAAGCTTGCTTTGTTCTAGGAGCTAATGTACAGCCAAATCAGCATTACTTCGCAATATGGTGTAGACTGTGTCTTGTGCTTGTGTGCGTCTGGTGCAAGGTGCCGAATTCCTGAAACTGGAAACGAGATAACGCATCAGCTACAGTGTTCTTTCTTCCTGGAATGAACAATAAAATTGTGCTGCATGGCACCATGTAAGTGCCACACTAATTGTGTGGAGACAACTGCTTGGCGGCATCAGCGACATCGAATTTGCACATTAATGCATTGTCATCTAATCGTTTAACTTCTACAAATGCATCTTCAATCCTGATGTATGACATAGAATACGTGTCCATGTCAACGAACTTATTGTTGTGGTTTATCATGTGGTGTAGACAACAATCAGTCTCAGTTTCTTGGAATATTTGCTCTCAAACAGACACATTAATCCGGTAAACTGGAAAGGAAGGTGAATCAAAAGACTAAATATATATCCTTTGCCTAACTCAGTCTGAAGCAAACGTGTAACAGGTTCTGGATTTTTCAGAGCAGATAAATTGTTCAAGCATTCATAGGCAAACAGTTAGTGCGTTCTCAGTTCCAGTTTTAAAACCATGACGAAGGTCTCTGAACATAATTGGCTGACAAATTCTGAATCTGGATGATTAGTCAAATATTCCTCGAATAAATTAACTTTAACTGGTGTGCTCGGGGCAGGCAGTCATGGTGTGGTACCAGGATTAACAACAGCGGATTTAGGAGCTTGGTTGCATTGAGTTACCTGGGGCAACTATATACTGGGTGGTTTGATTTGCATGAAGTAAAGACATGCAAAAAATAGCATGGATATCTAGAACACCCTTTACCGTTTGTATTATAGTTATTACACACTTCTTTGCCATTTAAATAAGTCTTGGGGGGGTCATCTAACGTTGACAGTTGTTGATTGGATGTAAAGAATTGCTTATGTGAACAAAAGTCTGTAGAATGAATCGTATTACCACAAATTGAGCACGCATTAGCTTTGCGTCCGGCGGTGAGGCGCATGAAAATATACGCATCTCAGATCGAACAGTCAATTTTTATATTCCCTTGCTGCTGCACGAGTGGCAAATTCAACATGGTACTCATAGAATAGGCTACCTCCGAAGCTAATGACCATGTCCGTTATGTCGTCTCGGTAATAGTCTAGTTATTCACGTCTATGTGGAAAAGCTTCACATATAATGAACTTTTATCTGCCAAACGCAACCAAGAACTCGTAATGAGTTA